TACAGTTCCGTGCTTGAATTTTTAGCATTATTATTCTTTCTGAGATTTGAATCACACCTAACACTGATTTTTTAATAGTGTTGCTTATGATAAAAGCTACTCCGTATCGATGATCAGTTTTGTCTCCTTCAGTGTAATAAATATTGTGGTTATTTATTGATATCTCTCCATTTCCTGACCACTGTACATCGCTAACCCCAAGTATATCTATATTTAGCCTCTCCTTCTCTTTAATAACATTGTGTAGTTTTCCAATGTTAGGTCTAATGCGCATGCAGCAACCAATAAAACCGAGTTGCAAGCTTTTCTTGGACTTTTAAATTGTTTTCATGTTTTTCTAAAGAACAAGGCAACAATTGCGAATCCTTTACATACACTGCTCCAAAAGGACGTTCCCTGGCAGTGGCGTTTCAGAAAACAAAAAGCTTTCGATTTGTTAAAAGAAATTTGAGCAAAAGAACCTGTGTTAGGACATTAGAATGAACAAAAAGATTTATTTTTGACGTGTGATGCCAACCCTTACGAGGTAGGTTGTGTGCTTAGTCAACATGATGAAGAGGGACGTGAATATCCAATGGCATACCATAGCCGTACTCTTTCATCTATTGAACGAAATTTCTCCCAAATCGACAAGAAAGCACTGGCTATAATATCGGGCATTAAAAAATTTCACGAATATGTATATGGCAGGAAAATAGGCATAAGAACGGACCATAAACCATTGTTGGGTATTTTTAATACAAAAAAAGGTGTTCCAGAGATACTGTCACCCAGAATGCTTAGATGGGCTCTTATGTTATCTGCTTATGATTATGAATTATGTTACGTACCAGGTTCAAAAATTCAGAATGCAGATGCTCTTGGCAGATTGCCACAAAAGGTACATGCGCCAGACACACCAAGCTCAGATGACGTTTTGATGCTTGATAACATCCCAGAAAAACCAATCTGTGCCAAAGACATTGCCAATGACACTAAGAAAGACCCAGTGTCATCTAAAGTTTTGCAGTGGGCTTGGAAAGGTTGGCCTGATGAGAAAATTAAATTTTCAGACGAGTGTACTCTCTATCTACTACGTAAAAACGAAATTAGCTGTTATCAAGACTGACTATTATGGGTTACAAGGGTAATAGTTCCACTTGGAGGGAGGAAAACAATACTGAATTTGCTACACTCAGCATACCCCGGATCGTAAAAATGAAGTCACTGGCACGCTCATCTGTTTGGTAACCAAGTCTCGACAAACAAATCGAACACCTAGTAAATACATGCAGCGAATACCAGGAGTCTAGAAACATGCCAAAAAAGGCTCCAATGCCTCCAATGCGTGGGAGTGGGCCAGAGCTCCATGGACAAGAATACACCTCGATTTTGCCGGTCCATTTAAAGGCAAAATGTTTCTGATTGTCATACACTCGTACTCGAAGTGGTTGGAGGTTAAAATCGTTCCAAATACCTCTATTGTTGTGACTATAGATGTATTACGTGGTTTATTTGCCACTCATGGCATTCCAGATGCTGTCGTATCTAATAACGGAACTTGTTTTACGTCAGCTTAGTTCCAAGATTGTTTAAAGAAAAACCTTATTAGACAAGCATTGGTTGCACCGTACCATCCAAGTAGTAATGGGCGAGCGGAACGCATGGTGCAAAATGTAAAAAATGGATTAAAAAAATGACAGATAGTAATGAAGAAACTAAAATACAGTTAGAATTGCACAGATATCTTCCTACTCAGCACATTACACCCCATTGCACAACAGGGAGATGCCTATCAGAAATATTAATGGGGCGAAAATTAGCCTTATTATTTGATCGTTTACAGCTCGACTTTAGAAAAGAAATGTTATCTAAGCAAGAGATGAAAGATTCTTACAAAGCAGTACCCAGATATTTTCAAGAAAACGAGACTGTATTTGCAAGGTCATTTGCTCCAGCTGGTCAAAAGTGGCTTCCGTCCAAAATAATTGAAACCACTGGACCGTTAGGCTACAAAGTTCAAACCCCTGATGGTAAGATTTTACGTCGTCATTCTGACCAAATCAGAACCCGTGTGTATGACCAAGAAACAACAGACAAAGTTACACCGTTAACCTCGATGGAAACAAAATTACTCGTAACTCCGCGAACGTTGTTTCTGCATCCAAACAAATTTGTGGACCCAGAACCAGAAATTTTAGAGCAGGCCGCTGAAGTTAAAAAGCCACCTGCTCGAATAAGAAAACCTTCAAGGTATTTGGAGGACTATGATGAGCAGATTTATCCAGGAGGGAGGAGTGTGATATATTGGCAACCCTGCTGTGCGGTGACGTCACAATCAGCTGAGAGGAGACTAAGGAAGAAAGACGCGACGCTGGTCTATTAAATGTATATTGTTATTTGCATTACATTTTGGAGTGAGTATTAAAGTCGGTAGTATTTCCTATACTGTTGTTATTATTTACAATCAGGTACGACACATATTTTTCAAAAGTTACCGCTGTAATACTATCACAAAATGTCCCGTTAGAGCATGTTTATGCTATAATAGTTCTTTAATCTGAGTGTTTTCCAATCTGAGGGTCGCGACCCCTACGGGGGTCGCAAATCTTACTCAGGGGGTGAAAATAAAAATTGAGGATCTTACAGAAAAAAACACAATTTTAGTAAGAAGGGCGTTTGTTTTTTTTTGCAAAAGTTTTTGTGGTGCTATTTTTGAAACTTTTTAGTTTTAATGTCTACCATTGAAAAAATTGTCAGTTCACATAAGTATGAAGTGGTGAATAGCACTAATAAATTAAGAGCTTTCCTTGCCAGCTCTGGATATTCGTGTTTTCTTTTCAACCAAAATACATCGACACTTTGCTAATAAAATTCCATTTTAAGCATGCTATCAGCAGCTACATCTAAAAGAAATTATTTAATTTTTGTGGTGGGATCAGCCAGATCAATTGATTTGTCCAAAAAAAAAAAGAATTTAAAATCCATCTACGCCCATTGTCAGCTTCAGATTGCAAGTCTGGGAAGTATATCAAAAGTTGCTCTTGTAAATTATGCAAGCTCTGTATCATGCAAGAAATGTGAGCCGATACTGCAAAACTTTGGTGTGCACCTTTAACAATCTTTTGAACACATGGAAAAGACTTAAATGTTTTGTTTTGTAGACAGATTGACCAAAAACGAAGTTTTGCGTGAAATGATTTTACTCCATCTTTAACTTTTAAAATATTTTCTTCTCTTCCTTGAAGATTCATGTTGAGATTGTAAAGGTTACTAAAAAGATCTACTAAAAATGCTAATTTCAAGAGCCGAAAATAGGGTCAGAGAAACGATAAGTATATTCAGATTTTGCATATTTTAAGAATATTATCAATAAAGCTCTCAATTTCAGAACTCTTGTCAATACCTTTCCTTTGGATAGCCACCTGGCCTCTGTGTGATAAAGGAGATTTTGATAAAGCAAACCCGTATCTTCACAAACTATTATGAATAACCGGGTTTGCAAAGCATTACCTTTGATAGCATTCACAATTTTTATTAACTCCTTGAGCATGTCATTTAAATTAGAAGGTACTACCTTAGTAGCTAGAGCCTGCGGATGAAGAAAACAGTGTGTCCAGGATATTATTCGGTTATAAGTCAAAAATGAAGTTATAATGCCAAAAGAATATCTTTCAAATAAAGGCAATTTCATGTCAATTTAAAACGATCATCTTTGCTTTATTCCATTGCAAAGTTATATACCTCAAAAAAACACATATTAAACAGGGTATTTCAAAAAGGTATGTCATAAATTAAATCATGCATTCCGTGGACAAAAATGAATTGAATTTTGAAACACCCTTATATATATATATATATATATATATATATATATATATATATATATATATATATATATATATATCAAATGCAATGATAAGAAACTAAGAACTTACTAAGGTATTCAATTTTGAACCAGAAATAAAATAACAAAAATAAACGAATAAAATTATATTTTCCAAATATTCTTTAAATCAATGTGACGATTAACTACAATGTATATCCTTTATAAATCAATTTCATTCGTTTCGCAACGTTTAGCCGATGTATCGAAAAAAAGACGTACGAGAGAAGGAAAAGTAATCGAATTCCCCGTTATGGGTCGACAAAATGAATAATGACAATAATGAATAGAATTACAGTTACCTTCAGGACAATTTGTCGTTTCCAATTCGATATTAATCTAGACAGACGATAACCCTCCTACAGAACACACCAGTGTGCATTGTGGGAACAATCAAACGGAATAATTTAGCAGCTTAGACATTGTTCCTGCGGCTATACTACTGCAGGATTATCACCGGCAGGGACAATTTTTGCTTGATCGTTTTAGTAGGGGAACATAGCGAAGAAAAAAACGTTCCTTGTACTATTTTTAAACTGTGTATAAATATATAGAACTATATAAATATACAGAAGGTACTGAATTAAAAATCGGACTTTGTAAATAAGATACATGTTTGGATTTTTTTATTAAGATCCCTAAAGGTCCTATCTCAAATCGTGTCATACTATACATATATTTCTGTTAGTCCATCCATTTGTCTGTCTGTAAGGTAACACTTACTAGAGCGCAAAAAATCCTAGAGACTTAAAACTCATATATAGGTTCCTTATGATCCAAAAAAGAACCCACTTAAGGTTTGGGACAATAGCCTACGTCAAAGCTCAACAAGCTATCAGATAACTGCCAATGGAGAGGAGACAAAATCTTGAAACTTGCTATAGAAATCAGTCCGGTACGACTGAGTGACTTTTATGGCTAAATCCACGATTTAAATATACTTTATGCCCATGTAGTAGAATCGCTAAAAGGAGCTGCATATGAAGCCCTGGAAAAACAAGAGCGAACGTCCTGACGAACAAATAAGAGCATTTTTGAAAGATGTCCTTATCTTCCTTATATTTGGATACTACCATCACTTGATTTAAAGTATCTTCGAGCTCAGCCTCTTCAGCGTTTTAGTTGATTTTTTCAATTAGAGATCACAGTATTTTGCAAGTAGTTCCGGAGACCTACTGCTTGAATGAGCTTGTTTAGTGACAGCGTTGGCATTATTAAATCTGCCGTGAGCCTTGTCTAGGAAAGTAACGAAGCCACTGTCATTACTAAACACCACTAAAACTAGAGCATTATATTTCTTGTGCACTTCTAATATCGTATCGACATAAACCTTAGGATCATTAACTACACTTTCTCCACACTTCTCGATTGTAGCTAAAGCTTGTGCAGCTGGGTGTTGTTCCAGTAACGTTTTCAGCTTAAAGAGACCATCTGGAATCCTAGCAACTAAGCTGTACATCCTACCTAGATCGGCGTCTATGTCATCGTTGCAAAAATGTTGCTGAATAAGAACACGTTCACAAGTTTCTGCTAATCGTTTACTTGTTGTTATATGGAAGTAGTTTTGGACACGTTTTCTTCTTCTGTAAGCTTTTGCTTCACCCTTTTCATATACTCAATAACCGGATTCGGATTTTCGGACAAGAACGAAATGCTCTCCATGTAAAATCATTCGGTATCTTTTAGAAAAATATTTTCAAAACTGTCCTTGTAAACACTTAAGTTAGGCCCTTTCGCTCCTGGTTCTTCTTCATTGAAACTTTTTCTAAGTAACAGTTTATTACACCAGATACTAAACGCATGTTAATTGTTTCACCGTGCCTTTCTTTTTCTATCAGTTTGAAAAGTGCTTTGGTAACTGCCTTATTTAATTGTTTGAAGAGATGATCCCTCGATGTAACCAGTAAGAGTTGATATATTTCATACCTTTCCTACCTTCCTCACATTTCCTTTTCACCCAATGTCTATTAAGATATGCACTACATCATCGAGCACTTTACTACAAAACTGATAATCCTCCCACTGATTTGTATAAAATTTATTTTCTAAGATTCTTTTACCCTTACCCTTTGGGTTTGCATTTGCCGAAGGTCGTCCATTGTTCTGTTGATGAACGGAAATGCAATAATTTTAAACGTGTATATAGAGCTTTATTTAACGTGTTTTATGCATCGTTTCTCAATTGTACCTATACTTGCTGGATGCCAGCATGTAGTCCAGACCTCAATATCTCTAACAAATTCCCAGAACATACCAACTCCATGGACCAGAAATAAATATCAAAGACGACCTAGCTGCCAAATATAAAAACTATAAAAAATAAACTATCCTATGGCCCAAAAGAAACCCCCCTAAATATCTGAAAAATGCAACACCAACGCTTGTAAATATGCTGACCAAACTTTTTAACAGATACCAAAACGGAGATAATATACCAGCAAACTGGAAGGACGAATAGATTACACCGATACATGAAAAAAGGATAAGTCAGACTAAAAAAACTACCGTTGCATCTTAGTTACCAGCATTGTCAGTACTTCTTCTTCTCATGGCGCCGTCTTCTTTCGAAGGTTGGCGATTCAAATGGCAATTGTGGTTTTGGAAACTGCTGCGCGAAAGATTTGTGCGGATGAGCGGTCGAACCATCTGCTTAGGTCTTTCAGCCATGAGTTCTACAATGTACTGTTAGTACTGTTAGTACGTTGTACAGAAATGTTATGAAAACCTTAGTCGGCAACGAATATGAACCACTTAAGCTAGAACAGCAAGCAGGATTTTAAGCTGGACGATCTGGCATCGACCACATCTACACTTTACCACAAATAAATAAAAAAAGAATGGCCAGGGATAGACCAACCTATCTTTTACTCGTATTTTGAGGACTTGACGAAAGCGAATGTTACATTATCCCTATGTAGACTATGGCAAGTACTAGAAAGCTCATCTGTTAATATTACACTTGTGAAAGAAACGTAATGCTTCTAGAACGATCTTCGATTAAAAATAAAGATTAACAACCAGTTATACAATTTTTATTATAAGAGGACGAAAACGTTGGCACTTAGCTTTAAAGGAAATTCTACACAAATAAAGGTTTAAAACAAGGCTGTTGTCCATATCAGAAATTTCTCGAAATTTATCTAGAACGAACTTTAACCACACAAAAAAATTTGCAAAGAGTAAATTGTAGGAAACCGCAATTACAAAAATTTAAATCTGTACCATTTTGTGGAAAAGTTTAAAATGGCCAAGATATTAAACAAAACTAATTCATATATCTCCAATCTCCGCAAGGGCTTACGCTACCGCTTTTACCGCATACGTATGACCTCAAATATTAATTTTAGTAAAAACTGAAAAGACCATATTCGATCAAATGTAATTCTTTCATAACGAAATAATTATGCTTCCCCACTTCCAATATTCCCCTCCTTAACTCGAAAAATATCGACCACAAAAAAAAATTTAAAAAAAATGTATGAAATAGCATTTGCAATAATTTCATCCCTTACCATTTTTGTCTAAAAAGTAAAAATGGCTGATATATTGAGCAAAAATGGTTCTCCAATTTTAGTTTTAAATTTAAGATGGCGGCTAAATCAAGGTTGGATTCAGTCACGATGTTAAATTTGCACTACTATTGACACCCTCTAAAGGTTAGAATAGGTCTTTTATGGACTTTTAGGACTATTAGGTATGTTAATATTCGAAATTAGAAAAAAAAAATTTTTCCATCTTCTTCTTTTTGTGCCACTCCTATCGGAGATTGGAAATCATCAAAGCTATTCTGACCTTGTTTATGGCTGACCTAAAGAGTTCATTAGTGGTGCAGCCAAACCACTCTCTCAAATTCCGCAACCATGACATTCTTCTACGGCCTGGATTCCGTTTTCCTTCTATTTTTCCCTGCATTATATTTTGAAGTAATTTTTGAAGGTTTTTTTCCATAGCTAATGTTAAAGTGTTGCTATAACAACTGTTTTGAGCAGATACAGTATCACTTTAACCGCAAGGGTAGATAAAGTGACACTTTAACAACAAGAGTAGATAAAATGTTTTAACTTTTTTTTATTCAATAAAATTTACAAATTCAAACCCATTAAGGATTAAAAACAACTGAAATTTTACAATTAACATTATTAGAAATATCTATTTTTGGAGCATCACAACTTGTACTCGTTTGCTTAAACACTTGATTTTTATAGGTACTGGATTAATTTTCTGTAACATTTGTTTGACATTTGTTGACAGAGTAATTCATATCCCTAGCAACGGAGCAACACAATTGCGATTTTTGTGATAAAAATTACAATTTTCTTTGAAATTCTATGTTTTACCTGAACTTAAAGTCTTGCTATAGAAAAAAAATGTTATATTGCACACGACGACAAAATCGCATTATCTTCTCGAGCATAATTAGCGCGCTCTCGAAGATAAAGTACAGTGTTATCGTCTTGTACAACAAATAACTATTATTAATACTTAAAAACTACTGCGTACCTTTGTGACAAATATGGTTTAATGATTTTCTGTACAGCGACAGTAATAATATGTTATTTTTTAAGGATATTAGAAACCTTTTTTATCTTATTTAGTTACATAAAACTGTATGTTACGATATTTTCCTTATATTATTCGATTAATCAAATATTTTATTGTTTGCACATGGACTATCTCATTTTTACCCGAACATAACGAACGTCCAACCGGACCTCGCAATCGGACGTGATAGTGTAGTACAATGAATAATTCAGTGATTATTTATGTAAAAAGGGCATAGATAGCCCAAGACTCGCTATCATCCCAGCGCCGAATGAGAAAAGCATCGAGAGATAGCGGGATAGGGCTGTCTGTCAAAGTGATTTATGCGAAAGCCATTTTGCCTATGCGATTCATCGACAGATATTCGTTTACTTCCGATGTAAAAGCTCCCGAGACTTTTTTGGTTATTAGCAACGTTAAAGGTGGAGGCGGCGACTGATGATCACACAAGTCGAAGTTTTTTGATAATTTGGGCCATTATTTTTAATGTCGTACTTAAATTTTATGTTTAAGGCAGCAATTTACACTTTTTCAGCTAATTATTAATATATCAAACAATTCTTCGTTTTTGCGTTTGCAAATTGTTATTCTTGAAATAAAGCCTTGCCTTTGTGTTTGGTTTATTTGTAAAAATCGCTTTTTCTTTTTACAGTTTGATTACTATTTATGACTAGCTTTATTTTTGTTATTTATTACATTTGGTAAACAATTTTTCGTTTCTCTTTATTATATTTTCTCCTTTCTCTTTCATTTTTTCATTTTTTGATTTCAAAAAATACATGTTGTTCTATTTTCTTTCCGTTAGCTTTTTTACATTGCAATTTGCGCCTTTATATGATCTAACTTTATAAGATCTAACCTATGTTTATAGGTCAAAGTATTGTTATAGTGTAAGGAAAAAGCTGGATTAAGAAACCTGAACAACGAAATAAAACAGAGATGCAAGACATAAACAAAAATATTATCACAATATATGTAAAGAAACACCAACACGGTCAAAACAATCAGCTAAGAAATCTATTTAGAAAAATTCGCTACCCTGGACTAATATGGCCAATGGAATAGACCATACAGAAACCCTGAAAACCAATAAAAAAGATATAGCAGAAATAAGGAGATAATACTACCGGAATCTGTAAAAAGATAATAAATGCCAGGAACTTGTTTACCAAATCCCTAAAAAATCGAAGAAGAACCTAATTCACTTGAGAATGAAACATAACTGGCGATTAGTACAATAAAGTATAACAAAGTACCAGGTCCAGATGTGATAACAGCAGAAATGTTGAATAAAAAATAAAATTGCTTCACTTGCTCTGTAACAAAATGGCAATCCAAGCAATGGTCTGACGAATGGACAAAATCTACAATAACAAAAATACATAAAAAAGGCAGCTTGTATAAATGCAAAAACTATAGAATAATACTTCTTACCGCACATGCCACATCTTTCCCTGGATGATTATAACATTACCATTGCAGTCTATTTATTAGCTTTGTGAAATTGAATATTGGACTTTGATAGATCTTCCTTACTCTTTCTACCTTTTTTGAGTCATGTGTGTCCATTTCAAACCTGCGTGGCTTTTAGATCATCTACCCATCTCCTGTATAATTTGACTGATGAACGTTATGACGACCTCGTTATGGGCTTTCACCTCTTCAAGGTATGCTGCTCTCCCTTTTTTTATTGCGGGGGTCTGGATAGGGGAATTAAGAGTATCGTAGTTTAGTAGTTTGGGGCTGGAAGATGTGATAAAAGGTCTATTCTATGCAGTTATTATTTAACAAGTTCTAAGGGTTACTAGTAACGGCTCTTTGTTTAGAGTTTTTTGACTAATACAGGCTATTGCCTACTATATTTTATTGGGATGGTTTCCAAAAGGTTCCAGTACTCACCAGGAAGTTCGTTGCCTG